ACAAACCGGTACTATAGGTCAGACCCTTTTAGTACCAGTTCGTGGCACAAACCGGTATTAAAGGTTAGCCCTTTAGTACCGGTTTGTGACACGAACCGGTACAAAAGGTGATCGTGGGGCCCCGGCCTGACGCTAGCCTGCCATCACCCCTTTAGTACCGGTTCGTGGCACGAACCGGTACTAAAGGTTCAACACGAACCGACATTAATGCATAGCCGTTCGAACCGGCACTAATGATGCCATTAGTGTCGGCTCAAATTCAAACCGGCACTAATGTGCTTCACGTTTGACCCTTTTTCTACTAGTGACATAGAGCATATTATTTTGCAGCGTAGCCTAATGCATTTTTTCTTTCACCAAAAACACTTATGTTGACGTGCATTGCATGTGCGTACATACTGGTAGAGACAATAGAAGCTCATGCTGGGATGAACAAACACTAAGAAGAGCAGATCTTAGTCCTAGCTAAGTTGAAAAAGCAAATGAACAGTTCATATGGTCAACAGATATCTTATATATAAGTTGTCTATTTACTTAACATGCACACATGGCACCTCATCAACACCACTACTATTATTTCTCTCAACATGCATGGAAACTTCTACTTATACCACTTCTCTCAACATGCATGGAAAATTCTACTTACACCACTTCTCTCAAACATGCACACATCCTACTTCATCAATCACACTACTTTTATTTCTCTCAACATGCATGAGAAATACTACTTATATTGATACTGTGTGCATATTTTACAACTATATCATAATCAAATACAATAAATCATTTTTATTTGTAGTCTTCATTCTCATATTAAAATTCCAGACAACCAAATCTCATTTAGTATATTGCAACCAATTCCTGTAGCAACGTGCGAGGTGTCATCTCGTTTTTTTTCTTTTAATTAAATCAGACACATGATATATAGGCAAACTGGAAAGAAAGGGCTATTGTTTCAAAAAAAAGAGGCAAAATCAGATATTGCTGATGAGATTTAATAAAAGCTGATGATGACACTTTTTTTTTTCTTAAGAATCGATGTCGATGGACCTATAGTCGACGGGTTTTTACAACCTGATGAGGATGCCATTTAGTAGTAGCGTCCTAAATGGGAGTAGTACATTTCCTTTTTGTGATGGTTATATTCTATACTATTGTTGTTAATATACTCTTTAGCAAATTTATGTTGGTTTAACTATTGGTTTGTTAAACTTATAATATACTGATATATTGTGAGTACAAGCCACAAAATATGAAAAAAAAAAGAATTAGTTAGGCAAATAATAACATAGACGAAAGCAAGCTACCGAACAGGATATAATCTATCATCATACAAAATGCAACCTTCAGTCACCAAAGTTGTTAATTTTCTTTAGTACATGTTCTGAACTTCTTTCTATTGACATATATACCTGAAATTATCCCCAGACTTTCCTTACGGTGGCGCCCGAATTCGACCTTAAGGATCTAGCTGCAATTAAAGTTGTTGGGAAGAGTGTGCTATTGGTTCGCCATAAAGAAACTGGCCAGTTTTTGACTAGGAAGGTATTGTCTGAAACATACCTCGGTTGCTGCTTCACATTTAAGGTTATTCTTCATATGGGAGTAACATTATATTTCAAGTTTTAAATTTTTATAGGATTCCTAATATTTTGTTTTTCCATTGCAATGCATTAGCTCCAACTGTTTATTATTCCATTTGCAGATTATACGAGGTGGATCAACAAATGCCCATGTCCGCAAACAAATCACATTGGGGCTGAAAATAAGCTTATCAACAAAAAGTGAAAGTGTTGTTATGTCGTTCCACCCTATATGCGATTGTAATGGTCTTATTTCTATGCTCTCCGAGTACATGGACGGCGGCTCCCTCGCTGATTTCATCGGAACTGTTGGAACCATTCCGGAGCGCTTCCTTGCTGCAATTTGTAAGCAGGCCAGTGACATGTCAATAACCAACACGTTACATTATAATCACACGGTTTTTTCTGATAAATAAAGACACCTTATTTGTGCAGGTGTTAGAAGGGTTGATGTACTTGCATGATGAGATGCACGTTATACATCGGGATCTAAAACCTTCTAAGATACTAATAAATCATACTGGTGAAGTAAAAATATCATCAATCTTCAATGTTTGTGCCAAAGTTTCTAGTTCTTTGTCACGGTCAGATTCGTTTATTGGTACATTCAACTACATGGCGGTGGGTGAAAGCTTTTCATGTCAAATAAACATGCATGTCTTCTATTTTGGCATGAAAACTGTCCACGTTTTTAGTTGCAATATACTGCAAAGCAAAGAATAAATAAATTGTATTGTTGGCAGCCAGAAAGGATCAGTGGGCAGGCACACGACTGTCTGAGTGATATTTGGAGCTTGGGCCTGATTATTGTGGAGTGTGCCACGGGCAAATTTCCATATCCTCCTCGTGAAAGCTTCTATGAACTTCTTGAAGCTGTTGTCGACCAGCCATCGCCTTCTGCACCAGCAGATCAGTTTTCAGAGGAATTCTGTTCATTCTTTTCTGCATGGTATGTGGATGTGCTCTCCAGTGGACAAAACAACTATTCTCTGTATTAATTGATGAGAAACAGTTGTCGAAACAAGGGCTAATACAAGATTCTCTTTATTTACCTGTGTATATTTAGTATGCAAAAGGAGGCTAGCCATAGGCCATCTGCACAAGTCCTCTCAGTAAGAGGGAAAAAAACCCTGCTCTGCTTCGTAGATTCATATTCTTCTCTATAGCGTGTTGCCCCAGTCTAGCTAACTCATTTCTCTTATTTCTTGACATGCTGTATCAAGACGCATCCATTCCTGCGCAAGCACGATGACGTGAGTATTGGCGATCTTGCTTCCTACTTCACAACTGCTGGCCTTTCGGATGAATTCGATGGATTGGACCTGTGACAGTGTGAGGTTCCTTCCCAAGTACCGGTGTCATGCAAGGCACTGGATGAAGTTGAAGTTTCGGAAATACTCCCTCCGTAAACTAATATAAGAACGTTTAAATCACTAATTTAATGATGTAAATGGTCTTATATTAGTTTACAGAAGGATTATTAGATATTGCGTTGTAGGTGGCAGTTTGTCTTGCTATATGTTTATGGTAGTTCTTTTTTTCTTTCCTTTTTAGTAAATGGATATGTTCGGCTTTATTAGGGGACCCATTGCCATGCGAAGCGATAGCAAACAGCCATTTTGAACTGGCGATTGCGTTTTTACAAGGATTGCGAGAGCTATGTCTTGCATTAAGTGAAATGGTAGCAATTCTCGTCGAATTCATCAACAGTAAAAGAACGACCCGTTAACGCACCTTTAAAGGAGATCCCAGGACTTGGACCTGGGTCTCCTCAATGGTGTGTAGAGCTAGCCACTGGGCAGGCGCCATGTTCGTGTTGAATACCAGGGTTCAACCTACTTATAGGAAAATTGCCGTGTTTTCATTGTTTCTGGTATTTTTGTCTTCTTTGTTTTTCAATGGTTTTTCTTCGTTTCTTTCTCCATTTTTATTTTCTTTATCCATTTCTTCTGTTTTATTCGATTTTCTTTTGTTTCTTTGTCTTTTTTTTGTTTCTGTTTTTCTTCTCCGGTTTTTTCATTCTTCTTGCATTCGCTTCTATGGTTTTATTTTCATTCTTGCATTCGCTTCTATAGGAAAACATGGGATGCTGGGAGGGTGTTCATGGACTCCATTATTCAAAATTTCAGACTAACTAAACACGACACATCTGACCTTCTGATACACGAGCTGACACCAATTAATGGATACAAGTTGTGCTCTGCGGTGCAGCCATGCTAAGATGGAACGATCGATCTCTCATACTCCCACATCTGAAATCCAATCAAAAGGACGTTCGGTAGCATCTGAAGGACGGTCGACGGTCGGCTCAACGTACGTACACCGCAAGCACGCTGCATGGACGTGTGGTTGCGCTGCAGCTCCGTGTGCCGATCGATGAAAGACGACTTAGAAAGAAACCTAGCTAGCGCCATCGTACTAGTGGGAAACAAGAAGGGAAAAGAACAGGGGTAGCAACAGAAGTCACAACTGTGTGTGACAGACCCCTCTCATCGGCCACAGAGGTGTGCACACGGCTTGCAAAACTGTGTGTGATCTTCATATTCAACCGTGTGAGATGGATCTCTTTCTATACTAGTGAGAGACTTTCTGCGTTGTCCCCCTGAATCACTTCCCCCCCGGCGGGCACACACACACACGTACAAACTGCTCGGTCAGGGGAGTAAACAGAGCAGCGGTTAAGCGCCAACAGAGGAGCACAGACCAATGCCTTTTTTTGCCAACTGAGTACTGGCTACGCATGCACAACGGCACAACCCTCTTATTACATGGTCAAGACCAACTCGCCTCTGCCTGTCTTACGCAGTGAACGGACATATAAATTCACCGAATGCTAGCTGCCATCTACACAGTGAACTCACATACAAATTCCCTGAATCCTGGCAAAAGCAATGACGGCCACAGCAAGTTGCAGCATCTTCACACTTGCTCCATCATGTACATTTACACCAGGGTAACAAGTTAGCAGTTTTACACAATGGCAAGATGAACTACTCCCAGAGACTAGATATATTTTAAGCTTTTATACAAAAATACACATTTATTCCCAGATTGGGCTACAAACTAAAATTCAGTTAAGGGATTAATAGACAACCAGATCAGTGACAGTGCAGCTGCAACAGCCAGCCATGCGTGTCTACTTTGCCTGTGCACACCCAAAGAAAGACCGCTCAAGGATGAAACAAATCAATAGCAAATTAAGATGGTGGCAAAGATACATCACTAATCATCACATGATCAAAGAATTTGATGCGCCATGTTCCTGTCTTCTGTGGATCAGCACATCACCAGACCGAACCAATCAAACTTCATTATCTCAGATTACTATAAAATGTGGACTCCTTCGGAAATATTCCTATATGATTCAATCCTATGAATCAAACGACCAATGTAGAAAAAAAAAACTCCCAAGAATTCAAACCGTTCAAAAATCCTATGAAAATTCTTCGAAACAAAGAGGCCCTTAACGGTTTAGTGGGTGACTCATAATTTGGTGTGGCAACATTTGCACCAGGTAGCAAATCTTGTGTTTCACCAAGTATGTTGGCCTTGACTATGACTTTGTGAGGGGAAGGGTTGCTAAGAACCTTCTTGACAGTCGGTTCATTCCTTCTAAGGTCATGTTGCAAATGGCTTCACGAACGCCTTATCATAAGAATCTAAAAATAGTTCAAGTGTGTCATCTCAACTTATCCAAGTTGTGAGCGAGAGAGGTTATTATAACATGCTAGAAAATTATGCACTTCTTGATGTACACGGTGGTTACTTGTTAGAGATGAAATGAAAATGTATTCTTATAAGACCAAAGGCTTGTTGATCAAGATTGTAAGAAACACAAACTTTGCAAGCTAGCTGAGTCTAATGATCCCTATTGATAAACAACCACATGATCTCTATGGAGGTTGGAACACCTCAACCTAGCACCAAAGTTTACAGTAACACCCGCAACTTGAACACTGATGACTCGTGCCTTGCTGTACGACCGCTCACCACGAGAGTATACCCATTCGGTACCAACCCATTGAGGGCGTCCTCGGCATCGCCCGACCTTTCCATTGTCACCATTGCCATGGTAACACATCCTGCCCCAGGAGAGGTCACCTTGGCGGTCGAAACTTTGCCATGCTTGCTGAAGAAGCGGCGCAACAAGGAGCTATCCATGCCGGTTATGATGCCAAACACACACACATGCACACAAGTATGCCTACATAAGTGAGTCGAAGTTCATCAAATCATCATTTATGAAGTATATGATATGATCTTCTAGTTGTTGTTGAAAATAGTAAATTTATATTTCAAAAAGGGAACAAATATATAGGACTAGCTTCTTTATTTTTTGAAAGGGAGGTTAAAACCCCTCTGCATGATCCACATGACAATCTTTATTAAAGTTGATTTAAAGGCAGCAATACTAAATCCCACAACAAGTAGAGCACAAAATATGAACAACTACAACAGATCCGCATTACAAGATGTGAAATTAACACGAATAACTAAGTTATTTGGCATCCATGCCTTATCCCTCATACTGCTGCGTCAAATATATATGACTACCTTATGATGGCAACGCACGTCAACCTTACAAAGTCTGCACGCCATGTCAGCACTTCTCATGTAGTCTTAAGCTCAGTGTACTGTAGAATTAGCGTGCTCCTAAATATGGAGCAATGTGGTTCCAAAGGAACTGTCTGGTCTTATCAATGTCATCCCCATAGGCGAGCTCCTGGCTCAGACTCGACGGAGCCATGGCGGGCCAAGTCGCCTCTGTCTCGTCCTCTGCTGCTATCTCTCCGGCACCGCTAATTGTTCGGATGACCGAGAAATACACCCTCTATTGCTAAACAGTAAAACAGAGCTACCTAGGAGGCCTCTCAGCGTTTTGCCGTTCCCTACCGTCCGATAAAAAACTGACGGTTCTGGCCAGTCAGCCATTCCATCACGCATTACTTTTTTTTTTGAAGAATCACGCATTACTAATTGGGGCTACGTAGCTGGGCAGCTGCTCCGCAAATCTATCTGGGCCAGCTCCGGTTCACCCTGCGGCCCCATCGTTAGACTGGGAGCAGACGACCAAGATTGGCATTCTGGACATCGGCCCCTCCACGGCTACACACATTCCCTACCCGATAGCTGCGGCGGTTGTGCCTTGCGCTGGTTCTCCTTGCTCGGCATCGCTCTCACCAATTCCTGCCGTCCGCCGGCGTCCACCACCACTCCCTCTCTTACTTCTGTTTCCTCCGTGCGTGCTCTCATCTGGCGCTCAGCTTACTCCGCCGCATGGCTCACCCACTCAGAAGCTCGATCCACGCACCACATGTCCACATCCCTCATGGCTTTCCTATCTTTCTCCATTAGCGACCTTCGGCAGCGTCGACGAGCCTCTCTCCGAAGAACATGAGCACGAGGAGGCAGTCCCGTCACCACGGCTGAGGCGGCGTCTCATTCTTGAGGCTGGAGGACTCCCGCTCCCACAACTGCACGCGACTGCATCGGGTGCGCGCCGGTGCAAAGAGGTGGACGCGCGACGGGTGCAAAGTCTCGGAGACAAGGTTGTGGCGTAGGCGCCTGTCCGGAGCGCAAGTTGGTGTTGCTGATCTTGCCGAGAAGATCACACTTGACCTATGGGCGGACGGCCAGAGCGGCGCAGCGCTCGACTAGGGCGGCATGCCTTCAAGAAGGGGTAAAATCCCTCACACTACTGCATCAAATATATATGACTACCTTATGATGGCAACGCACGTCAACCTTACAAAGTATGCATGCCGTGTCAGCATTTCTCATGTAGTCTTAAGCTCCGTGTACTGTAGAATTAGCACTCTCGTAATTATGGTTCAATGTCGTTTCAAAGGAACTGTGCCTAGTCTTATCAATGTCATCCCGACAAAGGCACCGTGGCCGGCCAAGTCGCATCTATCTCGTCCTCTGCTGCTCTCTCTGGCACTGCTAAATGGTCCGGATGACAGAGAAATATAAGACATTTTAGCCGTTCAATTTAGTGAATTGTCAATGGAGGTAGTAGCAAGCATCGGTTTCGGAAGATTAATTTTCTAGTGATGCGTTGATTGACTTGCATGTGAGTAGTGCTCAGGGCATCAAGCCAATACACGTGTTGAGATTGTGCAATAATGGTGGAGCGTTCAAATTGAACAAATGGTGAGCCCGGGCTCTACATACCTGGACTGGAGCAATGCCAGGCCGGGGCACCAGCCACATACCCATCTCGTTTTCATGGTTGCTCCATTTGTGCGGCAGGTATTCCATGAACTTGGTTTTGTCGTTGATGAGGTTGTACCTGAATACGCCAAGCGGTGATGACATCGAGGAGCCA